AAAAATGGTTATACAAACTTCTCATTGGTTTCCATGAGAGAACTGTATAAAAAAATTGAGACATTTTCGAATTAAATTTTATCCATAATTATTATTTTGTCTCTTCACGTCATGTTTTGTTTACCTCATCACGTCATCTGTTTTGTTTACCTCATCACGTCATCTGTTTTGTTTACCTCTACACGTCATCTGTTTTGTTTACCTCATCACGTCATCTGTTTTGTTTACCTCTTCACGTCATCTGTTTTGTTTACCTCATCACGTCATCTGTTTTGTTTACCTCATCACGTCATCTGTTTTGTTTACCTCATCACGTCATCTCTTCTGGAGGCTGTCAAATAGTTCACATGTGGAAAAGGAGAAGAGGGTGCGAGGGAATGGAGAGAAGGAGGGGATGGGAGGGGTTAAGGGGGGAGGGTAGAGAGGGAGGGTAGAAAGTGAATGGGGTCGGAAGAGGAAGAGAAGGGGTAGGGAGGGGGCAGATCGGAAATCCTGCACTGTATTGTATTGTAATGGTCTAATTATTACCTTTGTCCCCCCTGGTGTGTGTGTGTGTAGACGTGATTTGCATAAGCCCAGTAAGACAAAAATAAATATCTGTATAATATTATCATCTAGTGTCCAAAACATTAAACCGATCACCTGAAGATTATCTCCCTCCCCCCCCCAAGCTTATCAAAACCTTATGATTAACCACCTTAACGTTAATCAAACCTATAACGTTAATCTCACCTGGGTCACGTTAGATTGAGGTTAGGTTAGGTTAAGCACACACCAAGAGGTTATTACCGTGTCCAGGTATTCCCCAAAGGACTGACCTCTTACCTGTGGTCTAGTTTAGGTTTAGCGAATCATCACTCCAAGGGGCAGGAAGATTTATCGAGGAATTGTTTTTGTTTTGTTTTTAGGAACACACACACACACACACACACACACACACACACTTATCTCAAGCTGTTGTTAGGAGTTATTTTTATTAGTGTGTTGTGTCTGTCCTATAATCCCTGTTGGGGCTTCAGGAACAGTTGTCTGTAGGTTAATGTGATTGGGTTTTGTACTGTGTGTGTGTGTGTGTGTGTGTGTGTGTGTGTGTTATTATATACTGTACGTGGATCTACTTTCTTCTTATTATTATTATTACCCTCTCTCTTCCCATCTCTTCTTCGTCTTTTCCACTTCCCTCCTTACCTCTCACCCTCCCTATTCTTTTACATCTGTTCCCTCCTCTTCCTTCCTTCCTGCTCTCGTTCCCCTCCTAGTGCCTGGCTCCCCTCACACTGCCTCTCCCCCGACACTGCCTCTCCCCCTGACACTGTCTCTCCCCCCCCCTGACACTGTCTCGCCTCCCTGACACTGCCTCCCCCACCACCACACCAGTTCGATATTGTCATTATCCCCAAACTACCGGCAAAATGAGAATCACATTAGCCAGTCAATATTAATTAACTCAACTGGGTCTGGCTGGCGTGTGTTACGGTGCGTTAGTTCACTTTAGCTAGCGTTAATTCGCATCTACCTGGGCGGCTTAATAGCATCCCCCCTCCTCCCCACCTCCCTACTCAGTTTATTTCACCTGATGATTAAAAACACTGACGTTACCTGGGCGGGTTAGGTTAGATTACGTTAGGTTAGGTTATTTTGTTTTGTTAGGTTTGGTTAGATTAGGTTATGTTAGGATAGATTCCGTTACGTTAGGTTTGGTTAGATTACGTTAGGTTCTGGTCCAGTCTCTTACCCAAACATACCACCAGGGTGTTACTTTAAATGCCTACAGTCTCAAACTTCAACAGACACCATTTTTTTCTCATATGTATTACAGAAATTCCTATAAAATATACTTCCTTTTCTGTTATAAGCGTTTCATATTTTTCTCCACGTTGCTGAAGATATGAGGATAATATATTTATTGAAGGCCCCGCGGTAAACGTACCTATAAGATGGCTTTAAGAATCTATTTCACCGCTTCTCATCACAGCTGGTAACTCTGGGGGTTGGCAGATGGTGTTGGATTTTTGTTGTGGAGAGGAATTAATGTGGTGTGGGTTTTTTGTCAGATGTGTTGTGGTTGACAGATGGTGTTGTGGTTGACAGATGGGGTTGTGTTTGACAGATGGTGTTGTGGTTGACAGATGGGGTTGTGGTTGACAGATGGGGTTGTGTTTGACAGATGGTGTTGTGGTTGACAGATGGGGTTGTGGTTGACAGATGGTGTTGTGGTTGACAGATGTTATTATGATTTCTGACAGCTGGTATTAAATTTTGTTGTATCCATTTTGTTCTTTTGTAATTACTTTATAAAACTCAACACATGTTTTTGTACACGTCATCTTGCTTCTAAATTAACATGAGACAAAATAACACACAACACGACGATATGCGCTGCTCAGCAGCAGCCACGTCAACTGTTATGTTGGCCCATACCAACTCCCTCCCCTGAACCCTCCTCCCCACCGGAATATCAACAAGTTCTCGCCAGAAGTTATTATTTCATTTGGGAAAGGAATGGAACCAGTGTTGAATAGTGGTGAACAGTGCTTAAGTCAGTGAAAAACAACTCGGCAGTTGAGTCTAGACCCCAAGCTAACCTTCACACAGTGAGGTCCCAGGTACCCAGTGATAATTCCCCTGAGACTCCACGATAGAGAAGCCTGGGACCACACCTCACCCACTTGAGTGAGTGAAGTCCTGTGACAACTGACCACGTGGTGTCCCCATGATGCCACGACACCACGTAGTGAATGAGTTGCTACAGCATCATGTGAAGTTCCTCATAACACCATCTGCGAGGAAATTACTACGCCATGTGATGCCCCTCATAACACCATCTGTGAGGGAATTACTACAGCACATCAGGCCCCTCATAACACCATCTGTGAGGGAATTACTACATCATCAGGCCCCTCATAACACCATCTGTGAGGTAACTACTACATCATCAGGCCCCTCGTAACACCATCTGTGAGGGAATTACTACACCACGTCAAGCCCCTCATAACACCATCTGTGAGGGAATTACTACATCATCAGGCCCCTCATACACCATCTGTGAGGTAACTACTACATCATTAGGCCCCTCATACACCATCTGTGAGGGAATTACTACACCACGTCAAGCCCCTCATAACACCACCTGTGAGGGAACTAGTACTCCACGTGATGCCCCTCATAACGCCATCTGTGAGGGAGTTACTACACTACGTGTCTGCTGTTCAACACCTACATTAATCTGTATGCTCACTGTATGTTCCTTCACCTTTCTCTAATGAAGGCAACACGACGATATATGACAACACGACGATATACGGCAACACGACGATATACTGCAACACGACGATATACGGCAACACGACGATATGCGGCAACACGACGATATATGGCAACACGACGAGGGGACAAAACACAACCACGATTCCTGGTTAAAGTTTCTCACCTTTAAAGCCAACAAGAGAGGTGGTGACAGGTTGTGTGGGTGGTTCGGGACGGTGGGTGGTTAGGTATGGTGGGTGGTTAGGGACGGTGGGTGGTTAGGGATGGTGTTTGTGTGGCCAGGAACGGTGTGGTGTGGCTAGGGTGTACTGTGGTGTGGTAGTGAAAGAGGAGGCTGTGTTGTGGTGAGTCTCTCCGGGTATACACGAGTATCACCCGGAGGCTCTTCAGTACAGTAGCTGTTTATACATATCTTTCATCTGTGTTGTATATGAATAACTATAGTCAATATGTTGTTACTTGTGTGTTGTTATTTGTGTGTTGTCACTTGTATGTTGTTACTTGCATGTTGTTACTTGTGTTAGCAGAGTGCCGTACGTAATATTGTTTCTCTCGTCTACAGAATGCGGTTAAGTAGCAGCTGTGTTATGGACGCTCCTGACCCCCTCCCCCCCATCCAGCCAGTCATGGCACCACGCCTTGTGAGTACGAATTTGCTGTTATGTATTTAATAGATAGATAGATGGATAGATATTCGGTAAGATTGTCGTGGGATTTCACATTGATTTAGAATGTATACGTAGACAGTACAGGTATACATTATACATAGAGTGTGAATATACAAACAAGACGTATAGATAGTGCAAGAATACAAATATACATATATAATGCAGGTACACAAACAATGTATACATGGACAGTGCAGGTAGACAGAAGTACAGGAATGCAAACAAGGTAGAAAATACGGGTATACAGTGGAGGAATAACGTGTCCAGATTTAGTCATTAGATTAAAATGCTGTGACGACGGTACACAGGTAGTAGGTAGGAGGCTACATGTATGAAACACTAACACCATAATTACTAATAACTTACATGTGTGTGTGCTTACGTGTATGTGTGTGTGTGTATCTTCCTTATTTTGGTTGTTTATCAGTCTTACACACACACACACACACACACACAAGCGAACGAACGAGCAATCATTCATTACGGACATACCAGAAAATTATAATACCCCTCCCTCCCTCCTTCTCCCCACCCCCCTCTCTTTCATCTCCCCTTCCTCCCCTCCCCCAATCAACGAAGAAATGACAGATGCCTAAAAGGGGGGAGGTCCTGAAGGGAGGGGGGGGGAGGAGAAAGAGGATAGGGTTGCAGAGGGGAGGGGGTAGGGGGAAAGTATTGAAGGGGGTAGGGGGAGAGGGGGGATTGAAAATAGTCACGGATAAGGGCGCTTCACTATCCCTCTATCCTGCAGCGTTTACGGTTTTAGCTTCTCGTGAAATCACCTATTGTCGCACGGTGATTCACAACAAAGACTGGATGTGTTAGGTTAGGTTGGGTTGGGCTGGTTTGGTTTGGCCTGGTTTGGTTTGGCCTGGTTTGGTTTGGCCTGGTTTGGTTTGGCTTGGCTTGGTTTGGTTTGGCCTGGTTTGGTTTGGTTAGGTTAGGGCGAGTAAACGAGTACTGTATGTTGAAGACGTACGGGAAAGCATAATTTATACAATACATAAAATTATATCCGTCACCTCAAGGCTTCGGTTAACAAGAAACAGTAAATAATCAACTTACCTGAGATGTGACGGAGGGATGTGGTCAGATGGTGGAAGTGTGGTGTGACGGAGGGATGTGGTCTGCTGGCGGTAGTATGGTGTGAAGAAGCGATGTGATCTGCTGGTGTTAGTGACGAAGGGATGTGGTCAGTTGGTGGTAGTGTGGTGTGACGGAGGTATGTGGTCTGCTGGTGGTAGTGTGATGTGACGGAGGGATGTGGTCTGCTGGCGCTATACTGTGATGTGACTCACAGTCTGGTCACGCCACACCTCCACTTCCTTAACTGCTCTCTTGAGTAATCTAGGTGTCTTCCGCTGGTCATAGGATCGAGGTACAGTATTGCTAGATCACATTCAGGGTATTTCAAGTCAGTGTTATCAGATCAAATCGACAGATCACTTTATTACCTGACTGTTGTCGAAGCAGTATTACCACATCCCACACATGGGGTCACTTTAAAACCAATCTATTCACTGTTGACTATCGAAACATCCTTTTTAGTTCTGAATTTGGATCAATATGGTAACACTACACACAAATGACTCCCATTATTATTAAGTTTTCTTCATCCTGGAGTTAATATATTTCACTTTATATATGGAACTCGTGCCAACATCACCGGGTCAGGTCACTCCTTCACTCGTAATATAAACTCAGATTATCCTTTACTTTTCACTTAGGAATTGATCCATGTGAATTTTGTTTGTTTTCCTCTTATGGTAGAGACTTGGAGGGTGTTTTCAGTCGTGTGTGGGCCATGTTGGTGTCTCTGGCTCGTCCACACGGCGGCCTCTCTGGAGTCTTGTCTACCTGGGAATGGAAAAACAAAAAACAACATATAGTGGGATTAGATTATTGTAGGTAACTGATACTTTAAGGATTATTATTATTATTATTATTATTATTATTATTGTTGTTGTTCTCTCGTTTAGGCTATTGTAGATGGTGTGTGTGTGTTGTGTGTTGGTGGGTGCGGTAGCGTTAAGTTAGTGATGATGTGCACGCTGTACTTGTTACTGCCGCCGGCTAGCCCCTGTGGTGGAAGGGGAGAGCAGAGTGTGTAAGTCTCTCCCCTGCCGGTACACCATCACCAAGACCCTTCAGTGCCTCCTTCATGGCAACGCACGGTAAGTGAGTGTCTTGCGACCTCAGACACATTCTGTAAGGGACCTCGGAGCAGCAGTGGGCCCCAGAGGTACCAGGAGTTTCGATTGGCTTAACTGAAAGACTGGTGTCATGGCATATCCCTCTAACTAAAGGGCCACCAGCAGCAAGCCGTCCCCGCTCCTGTGTCTGTGCTGTCTCCACCAGGGCTACACTAAGTGTGTATTTCTGTAAAAGAGTGTCAAGGTCACACTGGGTCAAAGGTCAAGGTCACAGCAGACGTTCAGTGGTCATATGCGATCACTGTTTAGGGTCACAAGAGTGTATTGGTCGTTTACATCAGCCCAGCCACTTAAGAGTTCCACAACTATTATATATATTTGGAATTTCTTTATTTCTACAAAACTATATACACAGGTTCTGAGTTTGGGAGAGAAGGAATATAATACAAATGGTGCTGTTACAACAAGTCAAGCAAGGGGTTAGGTCACGGGCTGGCGTATGTAACAAAAAAAATACATAGTGATACGCTACCATAATTTCTATCTCTCTACCCTTACCGATCTCTCTATCTCTCTATGAATTTTAATTGACCCAACCTGTCTATTTAAGGTCTTCTCCGTACAGCTTTTATGGCATTTTTGGATGTTCTTTTATATGTTAAGGTAGGTTAGGTTAGGTTAGGTTAGGTGCACTTTTAACCTCTCCAGTAACAAGACCATCGAGACCAATGACTTAATTATAACCCTCGAGACCAGAGACCAATCTAAGACCCTTGAGATCAGAGACCAATCTAAGACCCTCGAGACCAATAATTTACCTCTCGCTGATTGTGTTTTTTATTTCCCCTAAACTTGTCGAGGAAGAAACTATCCAGACGATCAGTTCCCCATTACCGTAATGGCGGCCGTCCCCTGCAGCGAGATATTGGCTTTAACCTCTGATGTATGGGGGTGAGGGGTGTGTCTGTCACTCTTTCTCTTTTTCTATGTCTGTTTATGTCCCTATGTCTGTCTTTCTCTCTTTACCTATGTCTGTCTGTTCTTCTCTCTCTTTTTCTATCTGTCTCTCTATATGTCTGTCTGTCTGTCCTCTCTCTTTTTGTGGCTGTCCGTCTGTCTCTCTCTCTATATGTCTGTCTGTCTGTCTGTCCTTCTCTCTCTCTCCCCTGCAGCGAGATATCAGCTTTACCCGTCCGTCCGTTCATCCCAATCGCGCGTTTAGGGATTCAGGGGAAGTCTCGTTTTCAATTTAGGTGTTTATAAAGTCCCTTGGTGTTTGTGTTTACAGAGTCCCTTAATGTTTGTGTTTACAGAGTCCCTTAATGTTTGTGTTTACAGAGTCCCTTGATGTTTGTGTTTACAGAGTCCCTTAATGTTTGTGTTTACAGAGTCCCTTAATGTTTGTGTTTACAGAGTCCCTTAATGTTTGTGTTTACAGAGTCCCTTAATGTTTGTGTTTACAGAGTCCCTTGATGTTTGTGTTTACAGAGTCCCTTAATGTTTGTGTTTACAGAGTCCCTTAATGTTTGTGTTTACAGAGTCCCTTAATGTTTGTGTTTACAGAGTCCCTTAATGTTTGTGTTTACAGAGTCCCTTGATGTTTGTATTTACAAAGGGATTTTATACCACAAGTTACGACCATAAATAACAGCGGGAGTGGGGGAGGGAGGGAGGAAGGGGGGGGTGATTAAGAGGCGTGATGCTCTCCAATAACTCCCTGAAGTGTCGCTCCTGTGAGGGCTAGCGGGCGGCTGATAGGCTGGGATAGGGGGGGGGGTCTATAGGGAGGGAGGGTTGAAGGGAAGATGAGATGGGAGGGAAAATGGGATGAAAGGAAAGAATAAAGCTAATAAAGCTAAAATATTTATAATTGTCCTCACTATAGCCACAACAATATCACTTCCTCTCCCCCCTTTCTCTCCCCTCTCACTTGTTGATATTTGAAGTCTTCCGTACGCACAAACTGAGGACAACACGTGGCTCTTGTAATAGAAACATTGACGCCATCTGCAGGGGAAAAATCTGTATGTTTGTTTGTTTACATTTTACTGAGACATTTTTTGGCGTACAGTATTTTGGACTCGCTGTCTGTTATTGTGTGTGTGTGTGTGTGTGTGTGCTGAGGATGGGAGTAAAACTGTGTCCAGGATGTGTGTGTGTGTTTGATTTGGTGTTTGGATCTGTGAGATTATTTTCTGCTCTTGGTTTTCTATTACTATTCGTTGTTGTATGTTCTTCTTCAGTTATCTCTTCCTTCTCTTCTCTATGGTTAATCTGTTCCTACTCCTCCTTCTTCCACGTCAATTATCTCCATCTCTTCCTCCTCCTCTTCTCTAAGGGTAATCTACTTCTTGTTTCACTTAACTAGGCCTAACCTAACCTAACCCAACCTTAAGTGTTAGTTACAAGACTAGCGAGGTCATCCTAAAACTATATCTTGCGCTTGTGAGACCTCACTTGGTCACCGTACTACAGAATGGATATTGAAACCCTAGAAAGCAAACTAAGGAGGATGACAAGACTAATCCCGAGCATTAGGAACCTTGAGTACAAAGACAGGTTAAAGCATCTTAATTTCCACTCCCTCCAGAGACGTAGAGTGAGGGGCGATATGATCGAGGTGTATAAATGGAAGTCAGGGCTAAACAAAGGGGACATTACAAAGGTACTCACACCATCCAACCAGGAGCGAGCTCACAACATTGGTTTTAAATTAGACAAATTTAGATTTAGGCGCGAAATAGGTAAACACTGGTTTGGAAATAGAGTAGTGGATGAGTGGAACAAGTTACCAAACATCATCATTAACTCGAATACGCTGGATAGCTTCAAACAGGTTGGATGGATATATGATCAATAGGGCTTGGGTGTAAATGGGACTGCCGAGTATGAGCCAATAGGCCCGCTGCAGTTTCCTCCATTCTTATGTTAACCTAACCTAACCTAATCTTACCCTAACTTAATTGGCCTAGCCCTAACCTAACTCTAACCTAACCTAATCTAACTTAATCTAACATTAGCCCTCACCTAGCCTAACCTACCCCTAACTAACCGACCATACCCTTACTTAACCTACCTTAACCTTATCTAACGCTAACTAAATGTAACTTAACCTACCCTGACCTTATCTAACGCTAACTTAATGTCACCTAAACTACCCTAACCTAACTTACCTTAGTATAACCTTATCTAACCTAACTTAGCCAAACCTAACTTACTGTAAACTTAACCTAACCTAGCCATCCCAAATAGAGTTAGGGTGGTTAATCTTCAGGTGAAATAGGCTAGGGTGTAAGGGGTGTCTATTGTCTAATCTTAGGTGATCTAATTCATTATTACACACACGCTTGATAATGAGAACTGACCATGGAGAGAGAGAGAGAGAGAGAGAGAGAGAGAGAGAGAGAGAGAGAGAGAGAGAGAGAGAGAGAGAGAGAGAGAGAGAGGACACACACTCTGATAGGTAGTTTCCAGGATAGAAGTTGTGGTGTTGTAAATCTCACAGTGACAGGACCCAAGTCTCTCTTATCTGTCCTTAAGTCCCTGGGAAATGAACGCCCTATATCAGCATAACAGACTCCTCCTCCTCCTCCAATGGACTCACTATATTAGGCTTATGAGGACCTCCTCTTCTTCCTCCTCTTCCCCCTCCTACTCCGTACTCAGTTTATCAAGTCTACGATACCATCTTCCTCCTCTCATATCAATTTATGGAAGACTCCTCCTCCTCCTCCTCCACGAGGCCTGGCTACGCCCATGTATCGGCAGCGATCTCAGTGTGTCCTACAGCTTCCAGTGGACATGGTGGGTGGGAGGGACACGTGGGGTTGACAGGTAGGTGAAGGCCTATCACCTGGTAGAAGCCTCAGTTAAAACACACACACACACACACACACACACACACACACACACTACTCACCTTATTGACAGCTGCACAGAGTAATAACGTTGGTGGAGTGAGGAGGCGGCGGTGACGGTGACACAGAAGCAGCAGCATCCCTACTTTACCGTCTCCCTCACTCTCACACACACATACACATACACACACACACTCTCTCTCTCTCTCTCTCTTTTCCCCTCTCACCGCGCTTGGTTCTCTCGGTCTTCCCCTGTCACTCTCTCTCACCACGGACCTCTAGGACGCCACTGGGATCAATACTTTGCACAATCTGGCCAGGGGGGCGCTCATGACCACACACACGTAGGGAGTGGAGCTGGTGGCTGTGCGAGTCCTCCGGCAGGTTAGTCTGTGAACGACACACATGGTGGGCGGCAGGTCGAGCGCCACATGGCCGAACGCGACGCACTCACTAGAGGGACTGCCGAGTGTCGCCGCGGAGATGGTTCAACTGGCAGGGACTCAGTGAGGGAGGGAGGGAGGGAGTAGTGGTCCCTCTCCCTCCTTCCCTCCCGGTCCTCCTCCCCTCCCGGTCCTCCTCCCCTCCCAGCCCTCCTGCCTGGTGCTGCTGTCTTGCGCTGTGGCTTCGACGCCCCTCCCAGCGAACACCACCACCACCACCCCAGCGCTTACCGCCCGCCGCCTCACGCAAGGGAAACATCTACTCTGGCTGAGACGTCCACGGCTAGGTAGGGTGGTTAGGTGGAGAGAGAAGAGGAAGGGAGGGAAGGAGAACATTTAGTGGGGAGTAGGTAAGGAGGGAAGGGACGAAGAGAGGGGGGGGGAGGATGACGCGAGATGGGGAGTGAGGTGGGAAGGAAATGGGAGGAGTGAGGAAGGGAGGGAACAAATGTGGAGGGGAGGGAACAAATGAGGAGGGGAGGGAATAGATGAGGAGGCAATGGAAGGAGTGAGGAGGGAGGGAAGGAGTGAGGAGAAGAGGGAATAGATGAGGAGATGAGGAAATGGAGAGGAAGGGATACATGAAATCGGGAAATAGGTTATAAAGGAGGAAGGGGGGGGGGAGAGATGAGAGAGGAAGGAAGGGGAAAGGAGGAGAGAAGTAGATTGAGGAAAGATGTATCATAGGAGGGAGAGAAGTGGAGGAAGAAGAATGAATGGAAAGACACGAGAGAGAAAAAAGATATAAGAAAAGTGAATTATTATTATTATTATTAGTATAAGGTTCCATCAACTGTATCTCAAATAATGGTGATGATTGTGTATACGTGTGTGTATGTGTGTGTGTGTGTGTTGTCACGGGGTTGTGTGAGGTTGGTTAAGGCCGTAAGCAACCCAACCTCAATGTTTGTTGCGGGAAGATAAAGACCACGGGCGAGGTATGGGGCCAAGCTATGGTGCCCAGTAGGACAGTGCCACTGTTGTTTCAGCGTGATTTACAGCCGGGGCCACTATATTTACGCCAGTAGACCGTCGTAGTGGAGTGAATGGTTCAGTGGTGTAATTAAGCCCCTCATAAGTCATCCCATAGTAGTGTAGTGTAATTAAGTGTTGGGTCCCAGGGTCGACAAACGCCTTCTGTTGTGGCGTGAATGAGTCAATGACTTATTCATCCATGTAAATTATAAACCAGTACATGAAACCTTCCCAAATAAATGTAAGTGTAATTAATTATCTGTCCGTACCTGTGAGCTCTATCTTATTACTTACAAAAGGTAATTATCGATTAGTTCTGACAAAGTATAGACAATAATTTAGATGGATGTTGGCAATTAATGGAAGGCATTACATCACCATTCGTGTCAGGGAAGTGGCGCGAAACTCTATGGCAATGACACGCCATATTGTCTCTTTGGTGACGTACCCAGTGTCTTGTGAGAGAGAGGGACGTCTAGACTCTCGTGTATACTGATATTATTCACTTTTATCAATCCTTCCTTCTACTATACACTATTTATTCATTAAGATAGTTACTACTGGTGTTTACATTGAGTCAGCTGATGTTTACTACTATTGTTTACATGGGATCTGTTGATGTTTATTCGTATTATTTGCATGAGGTCAGGTGATAGATATTTTCAGTTTACATAGGTTTGGTTAGGGTTAGGTTAGGTTACATAGGATCAGCTGACGAGGGAGAGTACTGGAGGGAGGCGAGTCCTTAGCCCCACAACCGCTGACTGAAGGGCTACTGGGGGTCCTTTTAATTTCCACTGTCTTGGAATAATATCAGACGGCGCGACAACGTTAAGTCGATACCGGAGCTGTTGTGTGGTGTGGTCGTGTTGTGGTGTGGTGTGGTGTTGTTGTGTGATGGTGTGATCTAGTGGTGTGGTCGTGTTGCGATGTGATGGTGTGGTCGTGTTGTGGTGTGGTGTGGTGTGGTATGGTCGTGTTGTGGTGTGAGGGTGTGGTGTGGTCGTGTTGCGGTGTGATGGTGTGGTCGTGTTGTGGTGTGAGGGTGTGGTGTGGTCGTGTTGCGGTGTGATGGTGTGGTCGTGTTGTGGTGTGAGGGTGTGGTGTGGTCGTGTTGCGGTGTGATGGTGTGGTCGTGTTGTGGTGTGAGGGTGTGGTGTGGTCGTGTTGTGGTGTGATGGTGTGGTGTGGTATTGATTTTTTTTCTTTGCTCCTTACAGCCGCAAGTTTATTGTGCACACCACACTCATCCTGTGATGTGTAGCGCAAAAGGATTACAGAGTAGAGTTAACAAAGGGTCGGTATAACTAACCCTCGTGGTCAGGATATTATGGCATTAAATATTACACAGTATTTCAGACATTCTTTGTTTAGTTCTGTACATAGAGGGTAAGTTATTCACAACTGCGTGAGTACAGGCGTGTGAGGCAGTATGTTTGGTCGCACACTTTATTTTTCACATTTGCGTGAGAGGTATTCAAGCACATTGTGTGTTTGGTTCCATATATGGGAGCTGATATAAGTGTGGTGTGGTGTGGTGTGTGGGTGTGGTGTAGTGACGTGGTGATGGTGTATGTGTGGTGATGGTGTAAGTGTGGTGATGGTGTATGTGTGGTGATGGTGTATGTGTGGTGATGGTGTATGTGTGGTGATGGTGTATGTGTGGTGATGGTGTATGTGTGGTTATAATATATATGTGATGGGGTGAAGTAATGTATGTAGTGGTAGCGGTGGTGTTGCACATGTGGTGAACGTGCGGTGATGGGGGTGCACATGTGGTGATGGTGGTGTTGATACACATGTAGGTAGTCATGAATTTGAGTGGAAAGAGTAAGCGTAATGGAGCAGCTGGAGTTTAGTATCACTGCCAAATTCTCTCTCTCTCTCTCGGGGGTGCCTGGAGGAAGGGAGGGATGGGGTGTCATCGTCCATTCAGCTGACCCCTCCCCCCCCCCTAGTGTAGCGACCCTTCATGCTGATGCGCACTTAACCTAACCCCCCTATAAATAACACCGGGGGCTTAATCTGTGCGCTAATCTATAATCAATATGTCGTTTAGAGGTACACAGCCTTGGTTATATATACAGTAGACCTACCTGGTATACTTGGTACCTAGTATATAAGTCATTCTCCAGAAACATGTTGTTGGCCTTATCCTGTGGTGTTGATTTTTCGTGTCCTTAACCTGGCTATGAGTATTATTGTCTGTGTCTATGTTTGTCTTCTGTTAGTCCTTTGATATGAGGGCAATGTGTGTGTGTGTGTGTGTGTGTGTGTGTGTGTGTGTGTGTGTGTGTGTGTGTGTAACTTTTCCCCTCCCTCTCCCCGACTATAAGTTACAGTACATAACATGTCATTAACCAAAGTCATCGAGTTAAGAGAATTTGGTCGGAAACAGAATGTAGTAGAAAAAAAGTCACAGAAGAAAGTCACGGGAAAAAAGTCATCTCACCAAACCTAACCTAGCCAAAAATTTTACTTTTTTACCTGTTACTTTTTTCCCGTGACTTTTTTTCCTATTACTTTTTCCCGTGACTTTTTTTCCTGTTACTTTTTCCCGTGATTTTTTCCGGTCACCGAGAAACATGAGTACAACCACATATAAGTAGAGAGCCCCCAGGTACACTTATGCTCACCTGGTGTCAATGATACACAGGTGGTGACAATATCCTACAGGTGGCTTTTCACTATACCTCTACAGTTCACCTTGGCGTCTTGTGTTAGCCCCTCCCCCCCAGGTGATGTAAGAACGACACTCACACCTTTACGGACAGTACAATACAACGCCCCCTCATGAGGACTGACGACGGAGGCGGTGTAGGAGGAAAATCTATATTGAGGACGGATAATTGTTGTAGGCTGCTGCCTCCGCCTCCACCTCCCTCATCAAGGTCTTTAGGTTGTGGGGGACAGACGGACGCCCACACTCACCTGGCTGTCGGGGCGATTGCGTTGTGACCTCGGCCAGCCAGCCAGCCTTACACACACACACACACACACACACACACACACACATCATCATCATCATCATCATCATCATCATCATCATCATCATCATCATCTCTTCAAATTATAACAGAGAAAGAGTGTGTGTGTGTTATGGCAGCCATCACTTAGGTTAGGTCACACGCTATTTTTATAGACTGACGGTGACGCCGACATAATTTATTGACGTCACTCGTAATGTTTACCCGTGGAAAAGGTCTCAGGTGGGAACAAACTCAGTATATCAGGTGGGAACAAATTCTGATGGTCCTTGTGTTTACTGTATTGATTTAGGTGTCAGTATATCTACCTACATTTGTGTCTCTTTTTGTCTCTCTCTCTGTATGTCTCTCTCTCTCTCTCTCTCTCTCTCTCTCTCTCTCTCTCTCTCTCTCTCTCTCTCTCTCTCTCTCTCTCTCTCTCTCTCTCTCTCTCCCTCCCTTCTCCTTCCCTTCTTCCCTCCCCTCACACTCTCACCAACCATCTATCCCCTCAACCATTCTCATCTTTCCCATTCCTCCCCACCTTCAATCCCCATTTCTCTCCTCCCCTTCCCTTCCCTCAAATCCCAACCCCATCTCCTCACATCCACCACCACCACCACTACCTCCTCCTCCTCCTCCTCCTCCTCCTCCTCCTCCTCCTCCTCCTCCTCCTCCTCCTCCTCCTCCACCAGTCGCTGAACAAACAGTGACAAACACACGAAGATATACGAACATAGGAGCGGAGAATTGTGACACAGGAAGGGAAGGGGGGGGAAGGGGATGGGAAAGGGAGGTAGGGAGAGAGGGAGATGAGAGATAGACGGTAGGAGAGAGAGAAAGAGGTGAGACATGGAGGGAATGAGGTAAGAAAGTCAAGGAGGGAAGGAAAGCAGGAGGTAAGAGATGGAAGGAGGTAAACGAGGTAGATGAATGAAGGAAGGAGGTGAGAGGTGGAGGTAAAGGCCCGTCTTAAAGGGAGGGTCTGGGTGAGTGACATAATAACGGGGCTCTTTGTTTAATTAAGGATCCCTGGAGGTAATTAAAAAGGTTCTTATCATCTCACAAGTGCACAGGCAGACGAGGGGGTAAATTAGATGGAAGCTAATTACCATAT